CAAATAATAATAATATTAATAAAATAAAACAAAGGCAATTACCCATCTTCTTCAGTTTTTAGCAGTTTCTTTGAAGTCCATGTTTTCAAGTTTTTATGGATACATTTGTAATGTTTTTTAACTTTTAACTCTAGAATGCCCACTATAATATTCCAATATTTGTATGTCAATGATATATCATTCGATATGCACCAGATTATTGTGGCATAATGTGTGACCATGTCTAAAGTTATTGTTATCTTAGTTTAATCTTTGACTCAAGTGTGCCCCCTAGATGCAGGAAGAGAGCCATTTGCATCATTAAGGACCCCACTCACCCAGTACACATGCTTTTTGCCCTGGTGCTGTTAGACTTATGAATCTGTAACCAGAATAATTAGTGTGAAAAATCAGATCATGTTTCTGCTGATCTGTTTCATGTTGCTGTGTTCATGTGTGCTAATTTGCTAACACAGAGTCATGTTTGTGTACCTGTTTAGTGTAATGTTTTTATGCTAGTAGTGTTTAGTGTAAATTTAGTTGTTTTTTCTTAGTTTATATCTTAGATTTTATTATTGTTTGTATTTTACATTTTGTTTTTGGATGTAACTGGGACCTTGTGTACATAATTTTGTTCCACCACATGTATCACATCTGGTGCAAATGACAAATAAAGAAATTCTGATTTTGAGATGTGTACTGCAGTGCTGACTATTTTACTCTAATCATTTAACCAATTTGGAAAATAGTCAAATCATGGACATTAAATGCTTTATTTCCCCAAGATTTACAGCTTTCACTTTTATTCTTGCCTTTGAATTCACTAATTAACTGGAAAATTGTAAAAAGAAAAGAAAAATAATTTTTAAAAATGGATAAGGATGTGCTGCAGTCAAAGTGATAATTTCCGTTTTCTTAGGGTTGCTGCTCTATAGAAAGTCAATTCAAAGTTAAGTTTTGTTAGAACAATTGAAATGAGCATTGACATACATAGAATTGGTAATTCTTGAGTTTGACAAAGGAATTTCATTATAGAACCACAAATACCTGTTAAAATTTGTTTTTAAACAATTAAAACAATAATTACCCATCTTCTTTTCCAGTTGAGAATGCATCCATTTCCTCTGTATTCATGTTTGTCTTTATTCTGAAAATGATTTTATATAGAACAAGTAAAAAACATATATTTATTAAATTTTTATAGCATTAAGTAATTTTGTGAATTAATCACATTTCATAAAGTAACAATCAAGAAAATGCCGTGTGCCTTGATAAAAGTGAGAAAGACATAAATATTTTGTTTTTATATTTGCAAATATAGGTTAAAGTCTGCCTGTTTTTATTTCTTATTTTTACATGTAACATTAACAATTGATAATAATAATAATAATTATGATAATAATGATATTCAATTATACTAAGTTTTTTTTAATCTTGTGCCTAATTAGTATGAACTTGTGTCAGGGCAATTAAGAGGAGCATTGACATACCTTGAAAAGCAATTTAGTAATTGTGTCTAAGGAATATCATGTTATTACCACAACTCCAAATAATATTAATACTAATAAAATAAAACAAAGGCAATTACCCATCTTCTGGAGTGTTTTCAAGTTCGTTCAAGTCCATGTTGTCCCATTCATCGGTTTCTTCTTAAAGTTTTTCCATGCACAACAAAGAAGAAAACATCTTTATTATATACATATTTTATTAAGTGATCATATAAAGAAAGAACATTTGAGTAACTAAGAAATTAATTTCAAATATGTGGTCAATGAGTCATTTTAAAGTAATTCTTAAAAAGATTATGCATATCTGTTAATAAGTTGATTTCATAAAACATTAATATTTTTGCTGAATCATAAATTGATTATAGAATCATGTACAGTGTAATATAGCACCTACCACTTAATTGGAATGACTGTGTAGCTTCCAATATGTCGAGTTTAAGCAAAGCTTCTGTTAGTTTTGTTTCTGTGTTTTTAATGTGATTTGTCAAAAGTGTACTTTTTTGTTTGTAAGCTTGTATTTGTTTTTCTTTTTTTTGTAGTAGTTTCAGGAGTCCATGGATAGCTTGGTGGCATTTCCGATATGCATGTTCTCTTGGCATGTGTGGATCCGTAAGAAGATACTGTAAAAAAAAAAAACACAGATTTATGAAAACTATGCAACATTAAGGATTTTAGTATATAAGGTGTAAAGTTCACGTTATGATAAGCTCAATGTTTTCGGTTACAAATAGAGTGTACTTGTTTTTGTTTACAACTTTGTTTATAAAGTACTTGTATATATACGGCTATTAATAATTGATAGAAAGTATTTGGATTAAAAAAGTAGACTTTAGGAAAATCTTTTACTTGCATATTGTTAGATTACTGAACCAATGATTACAAACAAAAGTAATTTGCTGAGAAATACATTAAATCATATATAGAATTGATTTTCATTAAACTTAAGTATTGTATTCTATGCTTTATGGACTGTAATAAGCTTGCTTTTATTGATTTCCTGTTAAATACATGTTTTATTTTGGCATTTCGAGTTTTATGCTGTGTATAGGTTACCAAAACAGGAACAGCGTCCCCTATGGTCAGAAGACAATATGGTCACACAAATAATAAACTATGTTTACATGTGCTGAATTTTTTGACCGGATTGAAATGTGTTTTGTTTGAATAATTCAAATGTATTGTTTACATGGTCACAATCTGTTCATTACGATCGTTTACATGCAGTGAGCTTTGTTTTGAACAGCAGTATTGACATGGACAGAGTGGTAAACTGTTAAAAAAAAACCATAGAAGAAGAAGTTCTACTTCCGGGTGAACGTAAACAAATTTGAGCACTGAAAATGGACCCACGACAGGTTTTAATTATACTGACTGAGTTACAGGTAATACAGATCATTTTGAGCACTTTCAAACTTTTTAGTAAAAATATTGTGTCGCTCATCGAACAGTTTTGCTTTTGACTTACTAATCTTATTAGCATTAGCCAGGCGGAAATGGTAAAGTCGCACATGTGCAGTCAGGTTCGTTTTTCACCATCAGATGAAAATGAACAGATCAAATGTTTACATGTGCATTGATTGGGTTAGTGATCGGCGTAAAGCACACGTTTGACCAGCTATTTGATCTGGTTAGTTACGTCCATGTAAACATAGCTAATACTAATACTAATATTTAATGGGACGCCGGACTTTGTTATAAAGTAGTTCATTATTTTGAGTTTTTTTTTTTTTGTTGTTTTATTTTCTAGTATCAGATTTCATATTTGGATTTATGCATCATTATATTGTTAATGAATTAGCATGTAATTAGTGTTAAGCTATGTTTGTCCACATATTATAGTATATTTTAATTAGTTAAAAATACTTACAATGGCCATGGTAGCATCTTGTTTACCATTTTGAATTTCTGGGTCTTTAAAGTCAGGGAATTTTGCAGGAGAAATGTCGGCCATTTTTCCAAAGACAGTTATTGTCTGTAAATTTAGAAATTACTATATTAAAAACAAATCACAATTTGCTATGTTATTGTATTTTAACTAGACATAATGTTTATATGTTTTAAAAATTATAAGTCTACCATACCTGTGTAGTTCTCTTCAAATCCTTGTTGCAAGTATTGGGTTTGTGCCATGAAGCTTTTTTTAAAAGGTTTTCTAGTATTCAATGGGTGGAGTTTAGAGTCATGAAAAAAACACCTTTTTAGGCTCCAGACTGTCTTTGTTTTGTGAATACACAAAGATGCTAACGATTTTCTATTGTAATGAATCAAGTCAATTAGCATGACTGGAAGTGTGATTTACAATTCGTGTCAACATCAGTCTTAGTTTTGCTTTAGTGGAAATTTTTACAACAGTATGCAATGTTATTTGTGATTAAAGTTTTGCCATTATTTATTCTTAATTGGGTCAACCTTGTCTACAGCATGTTTATATTTTACATGTAAGTTAGTCTGAGTTTATAAATTATTATTACTGTCATATTTGTTTGTAGAGAAACATTCAAGACAAAATAATAATATAGTCTGCAGAACTCAATGTACAAACTTTACATTATCTATCTATCTTACTCAGTTTCTAGTATAAAGATTTCATTCATTTTTCAAATCCATAAAAATTATTTGCAGAATTGAAATTTGTGTGTCTTGGTTAAAAATAATTCAGTGACACAGGGTTTTAATTAAATCATTGTTAAACCTAACATATAAATAAAAGCATAAATTTAATACAACTGATACTAATGTTACTTTTGCAGCAGGTCATCAGAAAGTTTAGATTACTTAACAATATTACATAATTTAGAATCCATTTAAGTACAATTCAACAGGTATTAAGGAATAACACTGAACTAACAAATAATAATTTTCTTCTTTTCAGTGAATGTCAGAGCTGTATCTTGGATAGCTTCATACAAAGGGTTCAAGGATTTTCGTTGTGCAGCGGCTGAGTTCACAAACAACATTTTAAATGTGATCATCACAGACATGTAGCAGCTGGATACCGAAGATCATCTCCACCTTAAATACAAATCATGTCCTTCCT